CCCCCTCCTGGTCACATCTGCTGCTTCTTACTTTCATACCCTGCCCTGGACAACAGAAAGAGGGTGGGAATGCTATTCTTCCCAGCTACAGGTATTTACACTGGTGTTCACCTCCCCTTCAAGAGGGGAAGGAGCTGCACCTTTGCATCTCACCTATAGTCATACCCAGACAAGCATGGGTTTTCCAGTCCTCTCTTCTTTGCAGAAGCTCCTGGTAATGTTCTATTCAGTCCAGATAAATTGAGTATCTCCTATATGCTAGGCACTGTGCAAGATATCAGGTCAACCCTGCTTCCTTTCTCTGCCTGGGTAAGCAGCAGTCAGACAGGCTTCTCCAACAAGCCCTGGATCATCCATCCCAGCTCATGTTTTTATAGCAATGTTGGATTTTCATTGCTAAGTCGGGAGATCTCTCCCTTGAGTAGAGACCTTGCAGAGCACTAGTAGCTGGATTTATATCATTCCTATAGTTTCTATAGCCCACAGAGAAGTGAACGTAGGATTGCTGTTCCAAATCCAGCCATAATGGATCTGAAAAGTGAAGAAAAGTGAAAAGAAAAGAGAAAACCGAAGAACATTTGCTTCCCATCATCTTGAGGATGCCAGGACATCTTTTATTCTGATGCTTCCATTCACTTTGTTTCTATATAGCCACTTATACCCACCTAGCTAGCTCTTGCTCAATATTATCCTTCAGAGTGTGAAATTATGGTTTTTCTAAGCTAACAAGTGGCTAATTTATAAGTTTAAATCACACTTATGTCATACATAAGTTTGGAAAATTTAAAAGAACACGTATTTTCCATAATTATAAATCCCAGTCTCCTGGGATGGGGGTGGGAGTGAGGAACAGTTTGATATGAACCAGTTGTGAAGAGGACTAATTACGTCTAGTTACTTAAGTGTTTACATTCATGCAAGATCATTTAGGAAGTTATCACCAAAGTAAGTAGGTTGAATAATTTGTTGAATACTAAAATACTTAAAAAAACCTGAACTACTTAAAAAAAGGCATGTGATCTATTTTCAACATGTTACAAATTCAGAAAATAGTTTGTTTTTCATTTCCAGAAGAGTATTAATAGGGACATATTTCATTTGTCATCTATGAATTTAATTATTGAACTCTGATCATAAATACAAAGAATGACTTGTTTTCTCCTGTAAAGNAATAAACATAGTATAAGACTTAGCCAAATACTGTAATCTGCATTGCAGCTCTGTAGTACCCCTTGGGTCCTAAATTTGTTCAGAACCTGATGTATGGTAAGACAGGGTGGGGAGCCCCCATCTAAGATTAAACTTTTATTAAGTCTTATTCTCAGCAGATAAACCTGGGAGAGATTAGAAGACATCTATGCATTGATTAGAACGATCAAGTTAGGGGAAAACTGCTTTCAGTGTCTAGAATTTATTTTATACGAAATATTTAGAGCCTGGAGCACTCCTGACCTGACCTGGAAAGGCTTTCACATGGTTTTAGATTCCATACGGCCAAGTATAAGACAGTAGACCCACGCAGAGGATGTGGGTTACTCTTCATGCTGCCGTGATGGAGCCCAGAAGCCTTGTACCAGCACACCTGTCTGTCAGTCTTTTATCAAAGTATTGCATATACAGGGTTAGAAGAGAAATGAACACTACAGGGTTTGTAAGGAAAAACAGCAGTCCCTTGCTACACCCTTTTCTAACCCCTACCTCTAACCTCTAAAGGCTGCTGTTCTCAACTCAGTCCTGCACTCTGATGTTGGAACCAAGTAAAACACCTTTGCCTTTGGGGTTTTTTATTTGTTTTTTTCACTCGAGTAGCCAGCAGTGTTTGAAGTGGCATGCTATCTTTTTTTTTTCTAGGCTAGGTTTGGTTTAGACATAAGAATTCCCATCTACACACACCCCATCTATAACCCCCCCACCCCCACCCCATCAGCTTAGCCTGAAGCTGTTCAATTGCAAAATGAGGGTTTGTATGGAAACAGTAAAGAACCTGCTATGTTATAATTTTGAAAGACAGTGTAATGTTTGGTTTTGAAATTCGACAGGGCACCTGCTGTTGAGGGTCCCAGTCTCTTGAACCAATAAACAATCACATCTGTGCTGAAAGCTGAGACAGTTTAAACAAATTGTAGTTGGATTAACTGTTTTCTGTTTGTTTTTTGTGTGCTTTTTAAAAAATCAGGGCACCCATATGATAAAGCAGGCTCTTTCTTGTC